CCCCTGCCTTATTTAGCCTAGGCTTCACACTAGCCCCTTCACCGGCGAACGCTATTGGTTCGCTCTCATTCACACTCGACTCTGGAGCTTCTGCCTGCTTCTTCCACGACCACACTGCGCTCACGCCGCTTGCCGCCCCTACCGTTGTCGCTCTTGCTGACCCCTCCTCAGGTCCGGTAATTGTCCGTAGCTCCACCACCCTTCCTTGTCCGGTTGTCCCCTCGGGTTCTCTTACAGGCCTACACATCCCCTCGTTCTCCAGGAACCTAGTTGGTGTCGGCTGTATTCAGGACCTTGGCGTCACCACTACGTTCCCTGGACACGAGCGGTATGCAGTCTGTACCGAGGCCGCCACTGGTGATCCTCTTACCACGTTCCCCGGGGACCCTGTGTCTGGCCTGTTTGCGCTTGACACTGCATCCCCCCTGGTGAGGGCGTCCCCCTAGGTGCCTGCGTCGACCCAGGTCGCTGCAGCTTGCTCGTGTCGGTCGCTCACTCACCCTTCGCTGTTGTGGCACCACCGCCTAGGTCAACCCGCACTCCCGCGTTTGCGTCATATGTCCCATCACGGTTTTGTCTTCGGTCACCCTGCGTCGCTCCTTGCCCTTCTTCCCTTGCCTGCGCTGCCGTGCACGCCTTGTCTCGAGGGCTGGCTGCGCCGTGCTCCTCACTCCTCCTCGCTTCCCCCAACCACTGCGCCACTCCAGACCCTGCACCTGGACGTTTGGGGCCCAGCCCCCGTCCCTGGGCCACATTGAGAGTGCTACTTTCTAGTGCTTGTCGACGACTACATGCGCTACACCACGGTGTTTTCTTGGAGCGGAAGGTCGACGCGCCTGACGTTCTTATCCCATGGCTCATAGCTGCGCGAATCCACCACGGCCTCCCTGTGCTGCGTCTCCACTCCGACCGTGGCGGCGAGTTCGCCTCCGGTTGGCTAGGCCAGTTCTGTCGTGTGGAGGGCATCACCCAGTCGTATACCCTGCCGGACTCCCCACGGTAGAATAAGGTTGCTGAGCAACGCATCAGTTTGGTCATGGAGGTGGCTCGTACCTCCATGATCCATGCCGGTGCACCCTATTTTCTGTGGCCATTCGCTATTCGCTACGCCGCTCACCAGCTTAACCTGTTGCCGCACTCCCAGCGGCCGCAGGATTTGCCGACCCTTTTCTGGACCGGGTTCCCTGGTGATGCGTCTGCGTTCCACGTCTGGGGCTGCCTTGCTCACGTTCGTGCCTATCGAAGCTCACTGCCCGCACTATCCCTTGTTTCTTCCTTGGTTTCCCCCTCGACGCGTCTGACTAACACTTTTACCACCCACCGTCTCACCGCATCTTTCACTCCCGTAACGTCACTTTTGACGAGTCTGTCTCCTTCTACCACCACTTTTCCCACTGAGGTCTCCCTGTTTCCCCGCCCTTGTTTCTTGTTCCCACTCCCCCGGTTGCCCCTCCTCCTCTCCCTCCCCATCCTGCCCCGTCTGGTGTGTCTCACGTCACTCCCCTGCCGTTGGTTGTCCCGGTCGAGGAGTCAACCAGCTCTGGTGGCCCCGTGGCGCTATTCTCACCGCCTGTCTCCGACCTAGTGTCTCCTCCTCCATCGTCGCAGCAGCCGCTGTCGCCGCAGCAGCAGTCGTCGTCGCCGCCGCCATAGCAGCAGCCGCTGCAGGGGTCCGCGAGCTCTAGGGGTGCGGGCGTTGAGGAGGGTGCTCGTCCTTTAGTTCATGTCGTGGCTTGTCCCGGTGGTCCTAGACGTGGCACCAGTGCTGGAGATGTTTCTCGTTCTAGGGGTGCTGGTTCGGGGGGGGCTAGTCTTGGGGTTCCTGTCGTGGCTCGTCCCGGCGATCGTGGGGGTGGCCCCGGTGTTGGAGAGGGTTCTCGCTCTAGGGATGTTGGCGTGGAGTGTTTCGGAGTTAGCCGTGGCGCAGCTGGAGGTTTTGGTATCGGCGTGGAGCAGCAGCAGCAGTCGCCGCCTGTGTCCACCCTTTGCCTCTTCGGTCTTCCCTCCCCTAACCACCAACCTGCGCCTCCCCCACCACCACCTCCCCTACTGCCGGACTCGTCTCTGGCTCGTTTCCCCCCTCGTTCCTCTCCTATTACTCCTCCTCCGTCTCCTGACCCGACTCCTCCATCTCACTTATGGTCTCGCCGTCCCTCTCGTGCTCATCCTGTCTCTCCTGTTCAGCGCTCTCACCCTGTGTTGCTCTGTTCCCACGCGTCTCGTCTTCCCCTCCTCCTCTCGCCTCCTCCCTCATCGCTTGTTGTCGCTCCGCCTCCTCTGTCCGACTACCTTTGTGCCGCTAGTCCTCTTGTTCCTCGGGTCCTTGCCTCCCTCGTTACCAACCCGTCTGTTCCTGTCTCGCGTCTTGACGCTCTTGTCGCTGCCGTCACTGACTTTGCCTCTACCCGTCGCCTTGACTACGCCACCGCGCTGGTCTCTGACACTGCCCGTCCTCCGTCCGTCGGGGGTGCTCTTGCCCTCAGCAGTGACGTCCTGGAGGACCGGCAATACAAGCTCGCTTTCCTGTCCAAAGCCGGTCCTCATCTCTCCTCCATGCTGCTAGTCCCTGAGGGTGACCCAGACGCCTTTGACATCCCGACCCCTCGCACTTACGCTGAGGCGACCTCGGGACCCCAGGCCTCTCAGTGGATAGCTGCCATGGACGCAGAGATGGCATCTTGGAGATCCACCGGCACCTACCTCGATGCTGTTCCCCCACCAGGGGTGAACGTAGTGGATGGCCAGTGGCTCTTCAAAGTGAAGCGCCCTCCTGGAGAGTCGCCGGTGTTCAAGGCACGCTACGTTGCTAGAGGCTTTAGTCAGCACGAGGGTGTTGACTTCATTCAGACCTTCGCTTCGACCCCGAAGATGACCACTCTTCGGTCGCTGCTACACGTAGCAGTTCAGCGTGACTACGAGCTGCACTCTCTTGACTTCTCCACAGCATTTCTCCAGGGCACTCTGCACGAGCAGGTCTACCTGCTTTGTTTGCCGGGGTTCACCGGTACCTTCGCCCCTGAGACCGAGTGGCTCCTCCGGCCCCCAGTTTACGGCCTGCGGTAGGAGCCCCGTGAGTGGTACGACATGCTGCACTCTACGTTAGCCGACTAACAGTTTTTCCCGTCGTCTGCAGACCCTTCATTCTTCGTCCATTCACGACAGACCCCATTATACATCCTTGTCTACGTAGACGAACTCGTCTTTGCTACTGCAGACAGAGACGCTCTAACCTTGGTAAAGGCTAAGCTGCTGAGGAGACACACCTGCACTGACCTACAGTAGGAGAGCTGCGCTGCTACATTGGCCGGCAGATTTCTAGGTACAGTGTAACCATCACTCTCACACAGTCACAATTGGTGCGCCAAGTCCTTCAGAGGTTTGGTGTTCAGTTCTCCTTCGCACAGCCCACACCTCTGCTAGCAGATCACATGCTCTCGTCTCCAATCCTTGTGGAGTCAGTAGAGCCTAGTGGTCTGTATGCAGAGATGGTGGGTTGCCTCATGTACCTGATGACTTGCACTCGTCCAAATCTCGCATACCCTCTCAGCATCCTGGCTCACTTCATGGCAACAGGCAGACACTGACCACAACACTGGTTGGCAGCTAAGAGGGTTTTGCATTATCTAGCAACTACATCGGGCATGGGGCTAGTGCTAGGAGGACGCAGGCCAGTGGTTCTGACAGGGCACACAGACTCTTCATAGGCCGACGATGCTGAGACGCTCAGGTCCTCTCAGGGCTACTGTTTTAGCCTTGGTGCAGGCGCTGTCTCGTGGAGGTCCACCAGCTCGTCGTCTATTGCACAGTCTAGCTGCGAGGATGAGATCTACGCTGGTGCCATGGCGGCAGAGGAGCTCCACTGGCTGACGATCCTGCTCACAGACTTAGGTGAGCGGCCTAGCTCTGTCCCGGTCCCGTACGCTGACAACATGGCCATGATCCTCCTGTGTCAGGAGCCTCGACTGGAGGGCAGAGCGAATCACATCCAGCTGCAGTACTTTCTCATGCGCGAGCTCCAGCAGTGACGCCAAGTATGCGTAGTTCACTTGGCCTCATGTGCCAATACAGTTGATATCTTTACTAAGGCGCTTGCTCCTAAAGATCATCAGCGACACTGTGTATAGCTTGGTCTAGTTCCAGTAGCTCCTCACTTGCTAGAACCTTGATTGTGTACTACTCTTATTATTTTCTCCTGACTGGCCTTGTGGCCTTTGCTCCTGTGGCCGGACTAGTAGTGCCGCCCTGAGCTGCGTGTCTCTTGCCAGGCATTGCCCCTTGTCTAGCCTAGGGGGTGTGTCAACATATATTTGTATATGTTATAGGCTCGATAGGTGCATGCTCATAGAGGGCACAACACCATAGCACAAAACCTCCATGTATGCCACAATCTAGTTCATTCCGTTATTCTAACTAAAACACCATAGAGAGGAAAGCAGAAGCAGTCCATGTAGCTCCTAGATAAAAAAAAAGACAAGGGGAATGCCAACCAAGCGACAACGCTAAGTGAAAGGGAAACGAGAAACCCTAGGTGAACTGCCAATCGCTGTTAACGTTTACATACTCGTCGCGCAGCTTAGCACAACCGCGCACGTTTCGAAGGGCATTCAGAAGATTTTAGTCTGAATCTTTATGCCAACGCGTTTTCTGTTATACGATGTTTTGTTAAAAAATCATCTGAATTCAACATCTACGTAAAAATGATGGCTAGACGAAGTGAGCTAACAAATGTGAATATCCGAATTCCAACACAAGATATCCCGGAATGTACCTGACATTCCGGATGTTTATCCTTGAACCTAGAGCCCCGACGTGTACTAATATACACCTCATGCCCTTCTGTGTCCTAATTTATTTTAGAGGGGGTTCTCTTGTGTTGGGCACAAACATATCTCGACACAACTGAGCTTGTACATTGGACGAGGGTTACCACATTGGGAACTATGCTGTAAAAAAGGGTGGCCTGCACTTTTTTTTTGGGGGTGAATCTGGTTAGCAACAAGCAATATTGCTGCAATTTATTAGGGATACCTACATGACATGACATGAACAAAAATGCTACCCATAAAAATAGTCGAGCAGATAACAAATAAGATAAATCTCATTTTACACGACTACTCTTGCTCCCTCCACTCCCCATGATCCATCAAAAAGCTCTCTAGTGCGTCAATGGTGTATATTCCAGCACCAGGGGCAATCCCCGATTCGTGATGGGAATCTCCTGTATACGCTGACCATCCTGCATCGGTAGCCTCTCCCCCAACTTCCAGACCTATAGATGTCGCTCCAAAATGCTTCATAACAGCAGCAGAATTACTCTTGTACCTGTAATAGGCTGTACTCTTGATGTGAGAGTGTGGGTAGGTAAGCGTGGGACCCCCATCAGCAAATGCAGCGTGCTGTATGTTTTCTAGGGGAAGTGGGGAGCTGGGACCCCGGGCAGCAAATGCAGCGTGCAGCGGATTTTCCAGGGAATGCAGGGAGGTGGTACCTCGAGCAGAGTATGCAGCCTGCGCCATAGCATCCCGGGAAATCGGGGAGCTGGGATGCTCGGTAGCAGAGGCAGCGTGCGGCACAGCTTCCGGGGAATTCCGAGGCTCGGCAGCAGAGGCAGTGTAATGCACATTCTCCAGAAGGACCACGTCCACTGAGGGGTGAGGCAGAGGAGCGCTGAGGTCTGCCATGATATGCTGATACCCACTAATATGGTGTTCCATGATAGACCGGTATTCAGTAGGCTGGTACACAAAAGGCTGGTCAGCTCTAGGCTGGTCAGCACTAGGCTGGTCAGCAGCAGCAGCATCACCACTGTACGCAGCCTCCAATTCCTCTGCTGCAAATTCCTGCATGAACACATCCCCGCCGCTGCTGGCCGCACTGTCCTGCTCTGTGCCATCAAACTCCCCAGCTGGGGGGGGCATCACCGCCAATTGTTCGCTGACACCCTGCTCTGTGTTGCTGTGCTGCAGGCTGACAGTATTGTCGAAGATGGTAGGTGGAGAAGCAGGAGCGGGAAGGAATGGGTGAGAGTGGAAGGCAGAGGCACTGTGGGCGACAGCAGAGGTGAAGAGAGGAGAGGTCAAGGGGAGACAGGTCAAGGGGGGACAGGTCAAGGGGGGAGAGGGAGATGTTAATGGGGGAGAGGTCAAGAGGGGAGAGGTCAGAGTGGGAACGGAGTGGCTGCGAGAGGAGAGAGGGCGCTGGAAAGGAGTGAGCAGCTCTTGCTGCTGCTGCTGCACCAACTGCTGTTGCTGCATTGGCTGCTGCTGCTGGGACTGTGCCTCCACCAACTGCTGCTGCTGCTGCTGCTGCTGCTGCTGCTGCTGCTGCTGCTGCTGCTGCTGCTGCTGCTGCTGCTGCTGCTGCTTCTTCTGCTGCTGCTGCACCATCAGCCGCTCCTCCACCCACGGCCTCTGCTGTCCCTCCAACAGTCTCAGCTGCAGCGGATGCTCCATCAACCCCTGTCCGTACTTGCTAGCAGGGCCCCGCACCTGCTCCTCCCACCGCCTCAGTAGCCCCTGACCGTACCGGCTAGCAGGCGCTCTTGGCGGGTATGCTGCCATGTGCAGCATTGCCCTGTTCAGCTGTCCTGCTCCCACTGGCCCCTGGTCCCGTGACCGCGTTCGCCTCACCCTGTGCAGAGGGAGGTTTGGGCTGGTTCTGAGAGAACGGGCAAGGGGATAGGCAGTTCCGGCAGGTCCGCCTGGTCCGGCAGCACTGGCAATACTGGCAGCACCGCCAGCACCACGAACACTGGCAGCAGTTGCAGCAGCAGGTATCCCTTCAACTGCCGTGCTGCCATCCCCAGCCTCTCCACTACCCACACATGCAGCAGAAAGACCTGCAGCAGCACCACCATCCATAGCAGCCACATCACCCACACCACCAGCATTACCAGCACCACCCACACCACCCATACCTCCAGCATTACCAGCACAACCGGCAGCGCTTGTACCACCCGCAGCACCTATGTCACCTTTGGAGGGTTGGGACTCTGGGGTTGGATTTCTAGGGGCAGGCGACTCCAGGGGGAAAGATACGGTGTGGCTTCGACCCCACACAGGCACAGGCTCGAAATGAGGCTCCGACGCTGGGGTATGCCTTCCCAGGTAGGGCTTCTTCCAATCCGTCACGGGGGCCATGTCATTTGTCAAGTCTGCAGAAGAGCAACGAGCAACAGCAGCCTTGCTCTTTCTACCAGCCCTACGGTCAACAGCGTTACGTTGAGGGGAGCTTCGCACATGGCGCTGCTGCTGTGGACGCGGCTGTGGCTGCGACTGCGACTGCTGCTGCTGCTGCTCTTGCTCCTGCTGCTGCTTCTGGTAGTGCTGAAGCTGATGCAGATTCACGACTAGAGACGAGCTCCTTGATATGGTAAAGGCATACCGCATGTCGTCATCATGGCAGTTGGTATCATGCTGCTTTAGACGTGCCCCGAAAGGCGGCATTATGGTAGAAGCATTCTGCATGCTGTAATCATGCTGGTCGGCATCATGCTGCTCAACATGTGCCCCAAAGGGCGGCAACATGCCAGCAGCATACTGCATACCAGCATGCCTAGAGGAGGGGACTACCACTGCCGCCTCGTCTGTGCGCGGCAAGGAGGAACCTTCAACGCTCATAAGCACTCTCCCAGTCACCTGCACTCTCCATAAACCCGCGTGTGCTTGGCTTGACGGTGCTTGTGGCTCTGCGTGTGTCTGGACTGGCCCTGCCGATGCTTCCTGTACCGGCAACGCATGTTGTCCTGCCGATGCTTGTTGGACGCCTAGACTCGTGGCCTTCTCCATGCATAAAATCCCTGCTGCTGCTGCCCCTGCTGCCCCTGCTGCCGCTGCTGCCTCTGCTGCCCCTGCTGCCCATGATGCCGCTGCTGCCTCTGCTGCTCCTGCTGGAGCCAAACCCATCACAACACCTGCCTCCCGGCCCCATTGACCACGTTGACTGCATTGACCCTGGGAGGAGGGGGCAGCTGGCACAGCAGCATTGGATGCATGAAGAGGCGTGGCTGGCTGACTAGGCTCCCGGGATCTTGGCATCGTGACCTTGCCAGTTCCACTACCAGCGAGCATCACAGGAAATCCTGTCTTTTCCTCTTCTCCTGACTGTATCTGGCTCGGCACACCTTGGTTTGGAGGGCTGCTTCGGTGAGGTGTGGCTGTGGAGAGAGGTGCGGCAGCTGTGACTTGCCAGGATTGAAGGGGGTGGGGAGTATTCGGAGGTGTAAGAGTTGGGTCTAGTTGCTGCAGCTGGCTCTGTGGCAGTACCCCAGGTCGCTGCTGCTGCTGCTGCTGCTGTTGCTGCTGGAACTCCCTTTTCTGCTGGTGATGTTTCTGGGAGTGGTAGTGGGGCGATCGATAATACCCATCAGTTTCCCCCAATCCCAATGCCGCAGCCAAAAAACTATCATGAGAAACAAGGCCAGCGCCAGCTATGTCTTCGCCTATCCCTGTCCCCATCCCCATCTCCATCCCACCCTCCTCCTCCATCATCCCCTCTCTACCCACACTCTCCCGGCCAACCCCACTCCCTCCAATCCCATTGGCTTCTTCCAACATCCCCAGCTGCTGGGAAAAATCCTCTGCAAGGAGAGAGGACCACAGCTCCCCTGCTGCCACCCTAACTCCAGTTGCTTCCAAGCCTGCCGGGCCCGCTCCAGGCCCATAATATCCCAGAAACCTCTCATCAGGTCCAAGAGCACATGCTGGTTGTTCCATCCGATTCGACCGCTTTAGCATGGCAGTGCTAGACGTTGGTGGGTCGGCCAGGGTCGAGGAGATGGTTGGGAGGACAAGGGGAAGTATGCTGGTGTGTGGAGCTGCTTCAGGGGCGGAAAACGCTGGGAAGGTAAACGGCACAGCCGTGGGAGAGGCAGAGGCAGAGGCAGAAGAGGCAGAGGAGGCAGAGGTGGAAGGGACAGAGGGGGAATGGGCAGAGGGGGAAGGGATGGAGGTAGAAGGGGCGGATATGGAAGGGGCAAGTCTGCTGGAGCTGCTGCCACTGACAGTGGAGCTCGCTTCCGGGGTGCATGCTGCTCCGTCCCTGCTCCCACCAGCACTGGCCTCTGATGCACCCGCTGCTAACCCTCCTCTTCCTCCCCCTCCCCCTCGCACTGCGGCAGACCTTGCTCCTGATCCTGCACCTGATTCTTCTGCTGCTGCTGCTGCTTCTGCTGCGGCTGCTGCAGCAGCTTCTGCAGTTAACGCCCCGCTTGTCCCCTCTCCAAACGGCTTTCTCTGACCCGCAGCCTCTCCCATCAAGTCCCTTTCTGCCACATCCTCAGCATACTCTGCCTCCTTTCCTTTCCCTACACAGCTCCTACTAGCACTGCCCTCTTTTACCTCTCCTACCCCATTCCCCTGCACTCCCCGGCCAATGCCCCAAGTCCCGCCAACCTTCCCTGCATCCTCCCCTGCTGCTGCTGCATCCTCCCCTGCTGCTGCTGCATCCTCCCCTGCTGCTGCAGCATCCTCCCCCCCTGGTGTTGCATCCTCCTCTGCACCTCCCTGCATTTCCATCCTGCCGCCTGCTTCTGGCGCTGCGGGCTCCGAACCTACTCCTCCCTCGCCCTGAGCAAACTTCTCTGGAAAGTTAAGCTTGGCCTTTGCTCCTCGGATCTCCACAGCCGCTTGGTCGAACGCCAGAGCAGCCTCCTCTGCGGTGGGAAACGTCCCCAGCCACTTCCGGATCCCACTACTCGTGTCCTTGATCTCTGCAGCATACCGGAACTCCCCTCGCTTCCTCACTCCGCGGTACTTCCCCAGATTGTAGTTCCGGCCGCGAGCCTTTTTCATCCGCCTGCTGGGCTCCGATGGGGCAGGGCCAGAGGGAGGCTCACCTTGAAGTGGTAGTTGCGGCAAGTGCGGCTGTAGCAGCGCTTGTAGCTGTGATGGCAGCTGCTGGATCTGGTGCTGTGGCAAGTGTGGCTGTAGGTGCAATGGCTGAGCCGGCTGCTTCTGTAGCTGTGGCTGTAGCAGCAGCGCTGGATGGACCTGTGGTGCATAGTAGTACTGCTGCGGCATCTGCTGCTGTCGCATCTCCGGCTGTTGCATCTCCGGCTGTTGCATCTGCGGCTGTTGCATCTGCGGCTGTTGCATCTGCGGCTGTTGCATCTGCTGCCGTGGCATCATCTGATGTGGCAGACACTGCTGATATAGCATCTGTTGTTGCGTCTGCCGCGGATGGGACATATGCGGATGTGAAATCTGGTGTTGCATTTGCGCTTGTTGCGCCGCGTGCCGCTGCTGCGAGCCCAATTCAGTCTCCGGAGACCCTGCCTGTCCCTGTTCACGTCATGCTGCATCTCCCTGCGAGAGCGTCACTGGATGGCTCCTAGTACTAGGACCGCGGTGCCCTATCGAATCATTTGAGTCAAAGAGGGATAATTCTAGTACCCTCCACTCTTGGAGCCACGGGGGTTTCTTGGCAGATTCAGCACTACTACGGAAGCTATACTACTAATATTAGTAGTAGTAAGTGCACGTGGCCACAAGCTGATCAACGTGCCTAGTAGGCTCAGAAGAGCCAACCTGGTAGTAGTTTCCCACTCGGCAAGCTAACGACAGGCTAACAGCATGTTCTGATCTAGGAGTTATGCTACTCTCGGAGAGTCAGGAGACCCGTCACGTTACTAGTACTAGTAGAACGCTGAGGCGTAGGCTGTCTAGTAGTAGTGCAACTGATTTTACTAGGTCCTCATATAAAATGTGGCACCTCAGGTGAAAAACGTGTGGTTTCGTCTAATGCTCAAATGAAGCCGCAAGCTGGCTTGCAGTAGGTGAAGTACTAGAGCCGAGAGGGTTTGTCTGGCAGGGAATACAGAGTTGAATTGCTGACTTGAACTGGAAGTTTTCCAACTGTCTGTGTTGGACTGTCGGTCTGTTTTCCACACAGACAGACTCTTCCTCTGTTTCCTGCACCACTTGAGAAAGATCCAGGGTTGGTGGTTCCTTTGGTAACTACCCGGATTTCGGCAAAATAACGGGTGATTTTCCGACCTATTCCGGATTCTGACGCGTTCGTTTTCCATGAAGCCGGATTCTGACGGGTTCAGGTTTAGCCGCACCCGTGAAGTGACGTGTTCGTTTTGCGAAGTACCCTGATTTGACGGGTGAGCCCCTGGCAAAAACGGATCATAGAGCTACAAAACCCCCCTATTCCCCTCCCCCCAGTACCGCCCCCACCCATCCCCTCCCTTCCCCTCCATAAAAGAGAGAGATCCATAGATTGGGTGGCGGTTCACAAGGATGAGAAAACTGAGGGCACAGAGCCTAGCAAGGAGTTTACATAGGTGAAGTGGTGTGTTTCGTTCTGACAGAGCCCTTGAACGGGAAAATTTGACGCTACGAAAAAAATCACGGACCTGACGTGTTGTTTTTGTTCCCACATGGCTTCTGACGACTACATTTTAAGGAACACCCGTAAAATCCGGCTTTCCATATAGGGATACCCGGATCTGCCGTGTGGACGAAAACCCAAAGGTGGGCCCTGTTCGGGATGGAATGGAAGGATACAGTAGCGAGATCACGTACAGTATGCTGGACAATCGTATTTTCTCATCTAACGGCATGCCCTCGACTTTTCAAGGTTTCAAAAGCTGCCTGCCCAAAATAGTTAGAGCATGGAAGGGGGAAGGGTATACGCTGTTCGTTGTCGAGCTTTCCGACTGGTGATCTTGAATCATGTCAGGGAGAACCGCAGCGAGTGTCAGACCCAAGATCGGCACGAGGCGTCAGGAGCCGCGGGTTGTCACCACCTAGCTGCGGGTTTAATTTTCTAGCCGGTGCAGCGGCTCCATAGTCGCGAGCTGTCGCAAGAGGAGGGTTGCGACAATACTGGGCGAATTTTTCGAGCCCAACAAATTTTTTCAAAGTTATGATTGGTGGAAGTTCATTTGCGCGACTTTGATAGCCGTTCGGTTTGACTGGCTGGAGTCGTCATCTTTCGCAAGACCCGAGGCATTTTTTCCAGCCTCGGTCTTCCCGCTAAACCCTAGGGTCTAACACTCGCTGCGGAACCAGCCCTAAATTGTTTGTTGACTAGCAGCGTCTCTCAAGGACTAGGAGTCACTGAGGATAAAAAAATAGAGAAAAAAAAACTACTGATCACGCATTCTGCGTACCAGGGCTCTGGCTAACTGGGTAATCACCCTTAATGTATCGAAATTAAGAGCTGATTACGACCTGTTTCCTTTTTTGCATAGTAATTGTTTTTAATTCCGTCTGCGTAAAGGCAAACTTTTCGTGTGATTCCTTGAATTTACAGGTTAATTTTCATCGATTCCGTACGAAGTGCAATTGCAGTAGGAAATCTGTTCATAGTGGTGTATCACACCTTCCCACCCTCACATCTACTTTCCCAACTTCCTCCACTAAGCAAAGCGCGAGGCTAGTTGCCAAATTCTTTTCTACTCTTCCAACTTCCTTAGGTTTAGTATCCGCGAGAAACGGTACCTGGGGTTTTGACAGCTTTTCCTTAGCCCTGGCCAAGGCCATTTGCCTTGGATGTTTCAAACCAAGAGTAGCTAGCTCTTCGTCGAATTCGAATGCTAACGGGTAAACTTTCGGAGTCTCCGTCCGTTGACGGGTATTTTCCAGGGACGATTCCGTGACCTAACGGAATACCCTAGGCTTAGCGAGAGCTCTGCTGCGTACACTTCTGCTATTCCGATGTGTGCTTAGCTTGCACTCCACGCCTCCCCCTCTTAATCTGCAAGTTGCGTGCGCGTGCGGCAACTTTTCCATCCTTCCCGTCTCATTCTCCAGAAGCCTCGTACAGTATTTGTGACTATGACGAAGGGCACTGCCCTCCCATTCTACAGTCGGTACAGTAACAACATTCACACGTGGATAGGAGGCTTCTGAAGGGCTGTTGGAATTGATAAGGCAGTCCGACTTCACAAGGGCTGTTGTTGTGACATGAAAGCAACTGCTTCTGCTTTTACTTTAGTCAGGGGCTCGCCGTACAGGACACTTTCCCCGCCCCTAAGCCAGCTGGTATGTGTACACGGGGTATGCTCTATGCTTCAAATCCGCGACTCGCAAATATGGACTAGGACGAATAAGAGCGGTTCCCTACAGGCAAATTGGATTATCGAGTAGCACGTACGGTTTTAGGTGGGGTGGCGTAGGCCGTTTGACTCTTTCTGTTCACGAGGGGTGCCTTGGCGTATTGGCCCTTGGGCCAGGTTACCATCGACTTCGCCGCGTGTCGTGTGAGGGCTCATGTGGCTTCTTAAAAAACGTTCAGCAAATTTGTCGTCTGGTCAGAATTACCGTGGACAATAGAAGTAACACCTCGTTCTCGACCTTCCGCAAACAGTGCAGGCTCAAAACGCGCAAATCATATAATTTGAAAAACCCTTTTCGTGGTCTCATGAAAAGGGCTTAACGTAACGAAATTATGACGACTCGCCTGAGCGGTTTCGTTAACCAATCACACACTTTCACGAAGGTGAGAAAAACCATTTAAGAAAAACATTTTTCGAAATGTGCATTGGTTAATGGTGATTGAGGGACCGTGGGTCGTGTTTTCGTATTCGGTACGGACCTCTTCGTGTCACGCGGAAAGCCTGAATATTTACGTCATTGGTTATAAACTATGGAAAACGCCTCAAATGTTCTTGATACGAGGACTAGAATAGGACCGAAATAATAAGACAGAATGGATGAAAAGGGGGTACTGATTCATGCCCAGGTCAGCGCGTATACAAAAGTGCCAGGTGGACGGGGGTACCAGCTGGCTGTCGCCCCCCGGTCCGTCGTGATTACGTCTGATCGCCCTGGCAAGCGCGTATTGGCCAGGTAATTCCAAGCACAGTTCATGAGAAATTTCCGAGGTCGCACTCGCGGGTTGGTTGGCGACACTCGCATGCTGGGATCGCACCCAATTCGGGTGGCGCGCCTCGATGGTCGGTGGCATTATGCGACTGTCTAGATTGGTTACAATGGTTTATTGCGCCTTTTTAGCGAAGTCAACAGTAGATGTATACCGTACAGACGGAGTACATCGTGGCCGATCTTATCGAATTCCGGACCTTGGAGTATTACATGGAGTAAAATGTCGTGGACCTAATGGCATACCCGCTGAACTGTACATAAAATCCCAAATGCACACCGCAACACGACAATGGTCCAAGGGATGGGGTGGGAATGGTGTCTAGTGCCCAGTGGTGCCCCCCCACTCCACCCATCCATCCGTGAGCAACAAGGGTGCAGGCCTCCAATAATGTCTCTAGTGCCCAGTGGTACAGCTTGAGCACACCTAAGGCCCAGCTCAATACGTGGCCCAATCAGAAACCACCGCCCATTAGCGTTGGCACACGGGCAACGGCCCACTCAACGTGGGCCGTGAACAGAGCCAGCAGTGCAGCGTCATCATGACAGCGGTGACGAACATCGGCACAAGACGAAAGATGTGCCCCGCAACCGTTTTCGCCACAAACTTCCAGCCGCGCTCGGAATATCGCTTCGGCGAAGCTCAGCAAGCCTTTCGTTGAGCTCGCAACGGTGTGTACGCCTTGCCGGGTTTTTTTGTGGCTTGAGCATCGCCGTATGAAACTAAACGCTGACTTGGCAGCAAAATGGAGTCGCGATGTCCTGATGCCAGGGGTCGTTCTCAACATCGGACAACCAGCCAAGGAACAAACTCGAAAACAAATTCCCACAAACCACGCAGCAGCTATTTTTGCAACACGAACCTTCAATTCGTAAGTAATAAATCTTTAGAACACGCCCCTAACACTTGGAACTGAAATGCGACTCCAAACCCTCCCTACGTTTCACTGAGTATAAATGGGGGCAAACCAAACCAGAGAAACTCACTCAACATCTCACCCGCCAACCACCACTTTGGTGCTACACCAGAGAAACTTACTCTCGCTTGAAAGCGCCGATATTTAACACAGGGTAACTAAGTGAACAATGGCTCGCCAAAATATTCCACTCAAACCTACCCCGCAAAACATCAAAACGGTAACCTTCGTGCCCGTGCGAAAAGGCCCACATGCCCGTGACGATGCCGTGCGAAACCCCTGCGCGTTTTTGTCTACCGGCACCCTGAAAAGTTGTGTTCTTCTATCAGGCTCATGGTGTACCCCCCCCTCCCCACCCCACCCATCCATCCGTGAGCAACTGTAAATTGAGGGCGGCCTGGGTTACTGTGCCACTTCGTGTCGGGATCTTTGGGGATCACTCTTGAAACTTCTCTTAAGGGGGCTGATTGTGGATGCTCTACATAAGCAAGCAGCACGTACAGCGATGCACTCCAGCGCAAACTAAAACTAGAACTGAGTCACTTCATTTGAGTATCTTTCACCGCAACACCAAGGTACACAGACACCACTAGGTCAACTACTAGGCGAAATTCCGCAGAGTATACGCAGAGGAACCTAGCAGGCTACTAGCCGACGACTAGTAGTCACTTTGGTGTACAAAGGTGGCCGTGAAGACACCGCTCCTACATCTCTACCGTGTGGCGCGGAGGCCTCCTTAACTCGCAGCCATGATTCCATGTTCCGCTCGTCACGCCTCGCCGCGGTTCCTGCAGCGTACCGCCGTGAACATCGCCACATTCTTCGCTATTCCCACCCGTACGAACAGCCACCGAACTCCCCCCGAGGTGGCTCCCACGCAGGTCCAGGCTCCATCGCACCCTCCTGCTGTAGAGGCATTGCCGAGATCTCCCTATTCGGTGAGAGCTCCGCTTTTCGAGGGCGATTCCGGGATCGACCGCCGGGAATCAGTGCGATGCTTGCAATGCGAAGCTCGCTTTCTGGCCCGGCGGACTCGAACTCGGAGTGTCGAAGTCGAAGGCGAAAGGGGTGTGAGGAGTAACCGCAATCGCACGTGCGCTGCTGGGCGAAGCGACGATAGTAACGCCGTTGCGAGTTGGCGATTGCGTCACGTTTGCGACCATGCGAAACGGAGTTACAGCAGTAGCAACGTCGCGAATGGAATCCGCGGAGGGGAAGCGGCAGCCGTTGTAAAAGATTTCCCCGAGCAATGTAAGCGAGAAATGGCGGACACCCAAGCGTCTCCAGAACCCGAGGCGTCTCTTGCTGCTAACGGGCATGCCGGCGGGAATACAAGCCTCTCCGGGAACCCAGCGACGCAGAGCCTGTGCGACGTTCCTGTTGTGCGACGGGCGTCGTCGTACGGGCGAGTGGACGACGCGCTGCTGCGTCACCTGCGATCCATCATGGGCGACTCCAACGTGACGACGAACCGAACGGTGGGATGCTCGAACGAATGAATGAATGAATGAATGGATGGATGGTTGGATGGATGGATGGATGGATGGATGGATGGATGGATGGATGGATGGATGGATGGATGGATGGATGGATGGATGGATGGATGGATGGATGGATGGATGGATGGATGGATGGATGGATGGATGAATGAATGATGGGAGGTCACGCCGGTCAGGCTGAATGGTGTCACTGCTGTTTTCTGCTGTTGTGTGTTGCCTTAATTGTTTCCATCGTGAAGGACAACGGAACCAGACGTCTCCACGAACCAAACGGGGGATGCTTGTATTGAGTCAACTCACTGTGTTTGGACCAGGCTGAGTGGTTTCAGAGTTCGTGTTCGCGTTAGTGTTTGATGTTCGCGTTGCTGTTTGATGTTCGCGTTAGTGTTTGATGTTCGCGTTAGTGTTTGATGTTTGCGTTAGTGTTTCCATCGTTGTTGGTCCGATTGCGCTGAAGGGAGGATAGAGTTTAAACAATGGGTGGAATGATGACGACCTGTGGACCTGTTGACCTCATTGCGTGCCAGCACTGCTGGAAGGTGTTGGAGCAGCACGGCAGTGACGAGTCGTACCGCGAACCCATGCTACCGGATGAGGTGGCTTTTCCCTGATGCTTGACTTATGCACAAGCATGGGCCTTAGCTATGTGGCATGATGTTTGTGAACATGCCGGCAGGTGTTGGAGCAGCATGGCAGGGACGAGTCATACCACGCGCCCCCCAATCCACGCACCACATGCAACAGCTGGTAACCACGTGCGCCGCTTCCCTCATGTGCGCTGCTCCCGTCCCGGGTGTGCTGCTCTGCTCCCCATGTGCCTGTCATTGACATGCCAGCAGGTGCTGGAGCAGCATGGCAGGGACGAGTCGTACCACGAGCCCATGCCGCCAAACGCAGTGGTCTTCCCCCAGTCAACGCACCACGTGCAGCAGCTCGTAGCCGCATGCGCCGCCCGCCGCGTGCCCGTCATTCCCTATGGAGCGGGCACGTCTCTGGAAGGACACGTGGCAGCGTTGTGTGGGGGAGTGTCCATCGACCTATCGCACCTGAACCAGGTAGATATTCCTGTGAAGGAGGTGGATGGAGCGCTCCATCCACGTCCCCCACGCAACGTGGATGGAGCGCAGGCAGAGTGCTTCCAGGTGGCGGTGTTGCCACCATGGCACGACCTGTTTGGTTGGCCCCCTTAGGTGTCGTCCTTTCGTCCCGAGCAGGCCATGGTGGCAACACCACAAGCAGGACGAACGGGCGACACGTCCTCAGGCATAAGCTGAAGTGCATCATTTCCCTGCCGGACGTTTCAGGTGCAGGAGGTGCATGCCGACGACATGGACTGTCGGGTGCAGGCAGGGGGGAGTGCACCGTAGGTGGGTGATTGCTCGTTTCAGAGTGCACCGTAGGTGGGTGATTGCTCGCTTCAGAGTGCACCGTAGGTGGGTGATTGCTCGCTTCAGAGTGCACCGTAGGTGGGTGATTGCTCGCTTCAGCGTGCACCGTAGGTGGGTGATTGCTCGCTTCAGCGTGCACCGTAGGTGGGTGATTGCTCGCTTCAGCGTGCACCGTAGGTGGGTGATTGCTCGCTTCAGCGTGCACCGTAGGTGGGTGATTGCTCGCTTCAGCGTGCACCGTAGGTGGGTGATTGCTCGCTTCAGCGTGCACCGTAGGTGGGTGATTGCTCGCTTCAGCGTGCACCGTAGGTGGGTGATTGCTCGCTTCAGCGTGCACCGTAGGTGGGTGATTGCTCGCTTCAGCGTGCACCGTAGGTGGGTGATTGCTCGCTTCAGCGTGCACCGTAGGTGGGTGATTGCTCGCTTCAGCGTGCACCGTAGGTGGGTGATTGCTCGCTTCAGAGTGCACCGTAGGTGGGTGATTGCTCGCTTCAGAGTGCACCGTAGGTGGGTGATTGCTCGCTTCAGAGTGCACCGTAGGTGGGTGATTGCTCGCTTCAGAGTGCACCGTAGGTGGGTGATTGCTCGCTTCAGAGTGCACCGTAGGTGGGTGATTGCTCGCTTCAGAGTGCACCGTAGGTGGGTGATTGCTCGCTTCAGAGTGCACCGTAGGTGGGTGATTGCTCGCTTCAGAGTGCACCGTAGGTGGGTGATTGCTCGCTTCAGAGTGCACCGTAGGTGGGTGATTGCTCGCTTCAGAGTGCACCGTAGGTGGGTGATTGCTCGCTTCAGAGTGCACCGTAGGTGGGTGATTGCTCGCTTCAGAGTGCACCGTAGGTGGGTGATTGCTCGCTTCAGAGTGCACCGTAGGTGGGTGATTGCTCGCTTCAGAGTGCACCGTAGGTGGGTGATTGCTCGCTTCAGAGTGCACCGTAGGTGGGTGATTGCTCGCTTCAGAGTGCACCGTAGGTGGGTGATTGCTCGCTTCAGAGTGCACCGTAGGTGGGTGATTGCTCGCTTCAGAGTGCACCGTAGGTGGGTGATTGCTCGCTTCAGAGTGCACCTACGCTTCAGAGTGCACCGTAGGTGGGTGATTGCTCGCTTCAGAGTGCACCGTAGGTGGGTGATTGCTCGCTTCAGAGTGCACCGTAGGTGGGTGATTGCTCGCTTCAGAGTGCACCGTAGGTGGGTGATTGCTCGCTTCAGAGTGCACCGTAGGTGGGTGATTGCTCGCTTCAGCGTGCACCATAGGTGGGTGATTGCTCGCTTCAGTGTGCACCATAGGTGGGTGATTGCTCGTTTCAGAGTGCACCATAGCTGGGTGATTGCTCGCTTCATCATGCACCGTAGGTGAGTGGCAGGCTCGGAATGCATTATGGGTAGATAGATAGCGCGCCCACATGCTAGGGTTGAAGCTTCCCATATGCAGCACCATGTGCGACGTCCGTTGCTGGCACCATAACATGGATATGGTGGGCCAAGTCATTGCACCGTGCCATACCATGGGACTCATTCATTCATGCGACCACCACACATGTGGGAGCTCCATGCAGCTCAGATGGTGTGGTATCCTGGCATCCTCTTATTGAGGCGTCTCAAAGCGAAATTACTACACCACGAGCTCCGGGCAGCTCAGCTCAGATGGTGTAGTATCTGACTTTGCTGGATGCCCGTGTACGCCTTCAGGTGTGCCTTCAGGTGTGCCATCAGGTGTACCTTCAGGTGTGCCTCCCCCCGTGTGTGTCTCCCTATCCCCCCTCCACGTGTGTCGTCCCGTCCCCCATGTGTGGCTCTCCATGTCTGTGTGCATGCAATTGCAATAGCAGGGGGCATGGCGGCAACAAGAGCATCAGGCACCAATGCTGTTCGGTATGCCATCACTATGCCTGCTGCCCCGTTATAGTCCTTCCTCGTTCCCTCTCTTGGCTTCCCCCTTTCGCATTCCCCACTACACCATCCTGATTCGTCTGATCCTACCCCTGCCCCTTGCTCCTCACCTGGCTCCGTGCTGCCCTTGTCTCCCCCTCTTCCCTTGCCATTCCCCAGCTTGCCTTTTTCCCCTTGCACTTACCGCCCTTCTCCCTCCGTTGCACCTCTCCCCATCTTTCCCATGTCCCCCCCCCCTGTCTTCCCCCCGTCTTCTCCCCGACTTCCACCATCTTCCCCTGGACTTCCCCGTTTTTCCCCCATCTTCCCCCCATCTTTCCCCCATCTTCAACCATCTTCCCCCATCTTCCCCCCATCTTCCCCCCATCTTCCCCCCATCTTCCCCCCATCTTCCCCCCATCTTCCCCCCATCTTTCCCCCATCTTCCCCCCATCTTCCCCCCATCTTCTCCCTGTCTTCCCCCCAACTTCCCCCCCATCTTCCCCCCATCTTCCCCCCAATCTTCCCCTCATCTTCCCCCCGTCTTCCCCCCATCTTCTCCCCCTGCTACGGCACAGCTATGGCACCATGCGAGAGGCAGTTCTGGGAGTCACAGCAGTGCTGCCCAACGGGCAGGTCATAAAAACGGGCAGCCGGGCACGAAAGTCTTCATCAGGGTAAGCTCCCCCCCGTTCCATGTTCCACGGGCCACATGTGATTGCTGCAAGAATGCAATGCATGCTTCTCTTCACGGTATGCTCCCCCCAGAGGCTGCATGCTTTCCCACTGCATGCATGTCAGGGTAAACTCGCTCCGTTCCATGTTCCTCTGGCCACCTGTGATTGCTGCAAGCATGCAATACGTGTGCATGTGCTCTGTGTTCTGTCCACGTTGCTCTGCTGCCTCATGCTCTTGCTGTGTGCTGTGTTCTGCGTGCTGTGTGCTGTGTTCTGTGTTCTGTGTTCTATGTTCCGTGTGCTGTGTTCTGTGTTCTGTGTGTTGTGTTCTGTGTTCTGTCTTCTGTGTTCTGTGTTCTGTCTTCTGTCTTCTGTCTTCTGTCTTCTGTCTACTGCCTTCTGTGTTCTGGGTTCTGTGTGCTGTGTCCTGTGTCCTGTGTCCTGTGTGCTATGTGCTGTGTTCTGTGTTCTCGCCACCCCTGCTGACCACCATCTGTCCTCCCACAGTGGAGTCAAATTTTAGAATTCTAAAAAACGACCACCATCTATACCCTCTGCCCCCGTTTTATCTCTGTGCGACTGTTGCCTTGACTGTCGCTACTGACAGCTACGACTTAACACGGCTGATCGTGGGGAGTGAGGGCACGCTGGCTGTTGTCACCGAGGTACCACCATTGTCACCGTTGTCACCGTTGTCACCGTTGTCACCGTTGAGGCATATGAGGCAGATCTCTTGAAAGGACTCCTCTCCCCACTAGAGCTTCCTTGAAAGGACTCCTCTCCCCACTAGAGCTTCCTTGAAAGGACTCCTCTCCCCACTAGAGCTTCCTTCCTGAACTTTCATTCCGAGCCTTCTTTAACTTCATCCCTCCTCCTACACCACCCCGTGCATGTACATGTTTCTCGGCCTCTACACCCAACCCCGCAGGTGGAGGGGGGGGGGGGGGAGAGGTGGGGCTCTCCCCTTCCTCCTCGCACCACTAGAGCGTGTTCTTCCGCCTGCACCCCCTCATGCATGCAGGTGTCGCTCCGCCTCTTCCCCCAACCCGAGGCCGTCTCTGCTGCTGTCTGCCCCTTCACCTCTGTCGCTGGTGCTGTGAGTCATTTTCCCCTCTCCCGCTCCTCTTCCCCCTTCTCCTCCCCCCTCCCCTTCTCTCCCTCTCTCTCCCTCGCCCCTTCCTCCCGCCTCCTCTCCCCATCTCCCTTTGCTTCCACCTACTCCCATTGCTTCCCGCCGGTGCAGCGGGATAGGCACTGGCTCCAGTTGCACCGGCGACGCGGTCCAAAAGTTCCCTTTTTTGGACCTTATGCGACATTCCAAAAGGAATATTTGGACCTCTTGCACCTTGTGTCCAAATGTTCCTTTTTTGTTACCCCCTCTTCCCACGCTCCCCCGCCTGCCCCATTCCCCTCTGCGCACGCGCACCCATCCTGAACCATTCCCCTCTGCGCACGCGCACCCATCAGGTTGACACGGTGATCGATACCATTTTTGGGACGTCTCATCTCAAGACTAGTTGTTTACCCCCCCTGAACCATTTCCCTCTGCGCACACGCATGCACCCATCAGGTCGACACAGTGATCGAGACCATTCAAACTGCCATTCCAGTTGCCCGCATTGAGTTTCTCGACGAAGTGCAGGTAACAACGAGAAATCAGACTGGGGAATAGCTCACAGTCAGGCGTGTGAAAAATGTGCAGGTAGACGCAGTGAATCGCAGTGAATCTCCACTCCAAGAGGCACTTTTCAATATTCCTCTCATCGGCTCATTGTGACGACGCACACCTCCCTCCTGCCTCCTATGTTCCGCCTCCCATGTTTCGCCTCCCATGTTCCGCCTCCTTTTTTTCCACTGTGCTGCTCTGCAATCTCCTCCTGTGCACGCAGGTAGATGCAGTGAACCGCTACTCCAAGACGCACCTGGAGCTGAGCCCCACGCTGTTCTTTGAGTTCCACGGCACGGCTGCTGCCGTTGAGGAGCAGGCAAAGCAGGTGCACCAAGGGGTTGATTGAACGTCTCGTTTTTGGGACAGGGTGTGGGGTGGGGGGGGGGGGGGGGAGAGCAGGGAAGGGGGGTGGGGTGATATGGTGTGCGTGGCTCCTAAAACTTGTTAGGATGCACCTGAGAGGTTCATGTGGTTGAAATGGACGCACGCCCTCGTACACCCTTCATCTCAGGTATTGGAGTTAGCATTTATTGGAGTTTGCATGTATGGGAGTTAGCATGCATTGAAGTTAGCATGTATTTGAGTTAGCATGTATTGGAGTTAGCATGTATTTTGTAATGGATTTAACTCAAAATACATGCTAACTCCAATGGACACACGCCCTGGTACACCGTGCACCTCAGGCATTGGAGTTAGCATCGGCCAACTGGGGAGTTGGTTCCTTCTAGTGGTTTACTGCCCCTGAGGAGCACTCCAATGTTTATTCCACTCCACCCCCATTGCACCGCACTGCACCACAGGTATCAGCCATTGCATCAGCCAGCAGAGGGGGTTCCTTCCAGTGCCACTTTCCCAGAGGTGCGGTCCAGTTATCACCCTATGGCAACCCATCATACTCCAATGCACCCGATTCCACCGCACTGCACCGCAGGTATCAACCATAGCCTCATCTAACGGCAGGGGCTCCTTCCAGTGGTCCACAGCCCCTGAGGAGCGGTCCAAGCTCTGGGCTGCTCGTCACTCCGCCTACTACGCTGCTCTGGCGCTCAGACCAAACAGCAAAGGGTACGTGGCTCTACCTCTCAGGTTCAGCAGCACATGCTACGCACTCGAAGCTTATGATTCATGGACAAGCGCCCTGAGGAGCGCTCCAAGCTGTGGGCTTCTCAGCATCTGCCTACCACGCCGCTCTGGCTCTCAGACCCAACAGTAAAGGGTACGTGCTCCGCCCCCCCCAGATCTCTTAGCGGACGTGTGCGTGCCCATCTCTCGCCTCACGGAGCTCGTCTTACCGGCCAAAGAGCAGATGCGGCAGGCACAGCTGGTGTCTCCGCCTCCCATTCCGCCCCTCCCGCTTCTTCTCCCTGTCCGCAGAAGCCACGTGATATAAGGTAGAAGCTGCGTGATATAAGGTAGAAGCCGCGTGATGTAAGGTAGAAGCCACGTGATATAAGGTAGAAGCCATGTGATATAAGGTAGAAGCTGCAGAGACGTCTCACAACCAACCTTATATCACGTCGCCCTGTCTGCATTTCCACTCCGGCAGCAGATGTGTGTGTGCCCATCTCTCGCCTCACGTCGCTCATTCTGTTGGCCAAACAGGAGATAAGGCAGGCGCAGCTGGTGACTCTTCCCTTCCTTCCTCAATCACCCCTTCATCTCCCCCCCCACCCGGCCCCCCCAGTCTCCTAGCAGACGTGAGTGTGCCCATCTCTCGCCTCACAGAGCTCGTCCTCTCAGCCAAGGAGCAGATAAGGCCGGCGCAGCCGGTCTCCCTTCCTCTCCTTTCACACGCCGTCCCCCTCCCCTCTTCTCCCCCCCTCCACCCCTTTTTTTCCCCCCCTCTCTCTTCTTTCCCCCCTCCCCCTTTCTTCCCCCCCTCTCTTCTTTCCCCCGCCCTTCTTCCGCCCCTCTCTTCCCCCAGTCTCCTAGCAGACGTGTGTGTGCCCATCTCTCGCCTCACAGAGCTCGTCCTATTGGCCAAGGAGGAGATAAGGCAGGCGCAGCTGGTGGCACCTATAGTGGGGCATGTGGGGGATGGCAACTTCCATGTGCTCTTTATAGTGAGTGGGACTGTACAGGGTGTGACTGTATTAGGTGTGGCTGTATCAGTTGAGCTGACCTACTAGCCAAGGAGGAGATAAGATGGTGTGACGGTATATGGTGCACCTGGTGGCTCCCATAGTGGGGCATGTGGGGGACGGCAACTTCCATGTGCTCTTTACAGTGAGTGCTGGGTTAACAACTGGAGTGCTAGTAGATGGTGCGACTGTATTGTGGGGGGCAAGTCTACGCCAGTCTTGCGGTTACCACTAGTCTTGTGGTTACCACCACTCTTGTGGTTACCATCTCTTTCTGCAAGCACAATATGTTCACCTTGTGCAACAGGTCGACCCGGACAATCAGGCTGAGCTGGCAGCGGTCAAGCGAGTCAACGCCAGTCTTGTGGCTCCCAGGGCGCGTCCTGAGTGCCAATTTTGAAAAAAGTTATCATAGTGAAGACTACTAAATCGCACAGACCACTACCCAACTGTGCTCAACAACAGAGCTCCACCTGAAATCAATAACGATATCTTCTTGCACTTGGGACGCGTTCTCTGAGGTGTCTGCCTAGCCACCACTTTCTCAAACATTCTCTGCTGTCTTCCTGCAACAGGTCGACCCAGATAATCACGCTGAGCTGGCAGCGGTTAAGCAAGTCAACGCCAGTCTTCTGGCTCTCACTCTGAGGCGTCTGTCTCGCCACCTCTTTCTCAACCATTCTCTCTTGTCCTCCTGCAATAGGTCCACCCGGATTACCTGGCTGAGCTGGCAGCGGTCAAATGGGTCAATGCCAGCCTTGTGGCTCTCACTCTGAGGCGTCTGTCTTGCCACCTCTTTCTCAACTATTCTCTCTTGTCGTCCTGCAACAGGTCGACCCAGACGATCAGGCTGAGCTGGCAGCGGTCAAGCGAGTCAACGACAGCCTTGTGGCTCGCGCCATTGCTGTGGGCGGCACGTGCAGTGGCGAGCATGGCGTGGGGTGAGTGGCATAGCTTGGCGTGGGGTGAGTGGCATAGGGATGTGAGAGTCGGGTGTCTGTGGGATGTTAGTTGGTTCTGTAATTTGCATTTGACTTGCATTGTACCGGCTGTTTAAATGTACTCACATTCGCACGACATGACACCGTCCCCTCCGTCCTCCCCTTCCTCTCCCCCTCCACTTCACCTCCTCATGTTTCCGTTCCCAGCTATGGCAAGCTGCCCTTTTTGGAGTCGGAGCATGGGCGACCGGCATTGGACGCCATGGCAGCACTCAAGGCCGCATGGGACCCCCTCAACCTCTTCAACCCGGGAAAGATTGGCCAGTTCACCCCACCCTAGATCTGGTAGTTCTGAGGCATTTCAAAAGCATGGGGCCCACTCAGCCTCTTCAGCCCGGGCTAGATAGGCCAGCTCCACCTTGCCTGATCGTTTTGCCATGTGACATTTCCAGAATAATCCGTCAGCAGCTTGTAAGTTTCAGCTTTCATCTATGTCGCGCGAATTGTTATAACGAATGTGTTTTGACAATTCGCGGGACAACTCGAGAGGGTTATGCGAAAAGAGTTGGGGATATAAAGTGGTGTACAGGCGATGTCGGTAAAAAGAGGTTGTACAGTGATGTGATGGGTGTTCCAATCGAGGATGGGGAGCAGAGGAGCGATTCGCCAGTTGGCGGGAGGGGCATGCAGTTGGGAACAGCTAAGCGGTGCAAGAAAGGTGAAGGGGGAAGGCATGCAATGCGGCGAGGGGCAGTGTCGATGGCAAAGCGGCAGGGAGCCATCACGGCGGAAGAAAACCCGAAACGGTTTGTGGTGGGAAGCATGGGAGGGAGGGACAAGCGCTCCTGAGTGAATCCACCTGAGAGGTAGCCACAAACTGCGTGTGCGTAGTTGTGTAGCTACTTCTGTTTGTTCTCTCGTGATCATAGGAAAGCGTGTATGCCCTGTGAGTACTGGATTCATTCACGAGCATAAGCTAGAACTATGTAGAGAGGCCAGACAGGGTGGGTATTGAGTTAAGAAGAGCTGTTCTAGGGATCTTCTTATGGAGCAGGAAAAGGCAGTGACAATCACGTATCAGAGGAAAAAGGGGAAGGTGCTGAAGAAGCCAGGCTAGAAGAATACGAGGGGATGCGGGGAGAACCATGCTGAGCGACATCTACACTATACGACACTGCTATCTGCACAACTACCAAATTTAAATCAGCATTCATAAACAAAACACCGAAATACGTAACTACCAGTAGTACCGTAGCATGTCATTTCATCACCATGTCTAATCGCCCTGCCACGGCCAGCATCTGCCTCACATCGAGCACCTTGGCCTTCACACACAAACTGCCGCCCACCAGCACGCCCCCCCCCCCCATCCACTCCCACTGCTGCAGTAGCACCAGCAACGGCACCCACAATGGCACCCACAACGGCACCCGCAATGGCACCTGGAGCGGCAGCAGCAGCAGCAGGTGGCGGTGCAGTGTTCCCTGTTAGTCCTCCTGGCACTACTGCAGGTGCTGCTAGCCCTGCTGCTGCTGCTGCTACAGGAGGTGCTGCTGCCACAACTGCCACAGCTATAACCGGTGCTGCTGCTGCGAACAGAGGTGCTGCTACAGGTGCTGCTACAGGGGCTGCGAACAGAGGTGCTACAACCGGCACTGCTGATTCTCCTGCACCTACTGTCACGTAAACAGGTGGGAAAAGACCCCCACCTGTAGCAGCAGATGCAGGAACAACAGCGTTAGCAGCCACCGGCCTCCCATGTCAAACATATATTGTATGTTACTGTATACTATATAGGGTTGTGCCTTAGGGAGTACAACCCATTAGGCTATATATCCGTGTATGATCTGTTCTAGTCCAACAAGAGAGGCAAGGACCCGAGGAACAAGGGGACGCGCAGCACGGAGGAAGTCAGAGAACGGAGGCGGGGCCACAGCAAGTGACGACGGGGGAGGAGACGGGAGGAGAGGAGCACGAGACGCGTGAGAGTGAAGCAACATAGGGTGAGAACGCGGAATAGGGGAGGTAGGACGAGCACGAGACGGACGACGAGACCAGACTTGAGACGGAGGAGTCGGATCAGGAGAGAGGGTAGGAGACACTGGAGGAGAACGGGGAGGGAAACGAGCCGGAGAGGAGTCCGGGGAAGGAAACATTGGGCCGTGGACCGGCAGAGGAGGAGGCGGTGGAGACGGGGGAGGAACCAGCAGGTGGTCAGGGGAAGGAACACCGAGGAGGCGAAGAGCGGACACCGGCGGCGACGTTTGCGACTGCTGCCCGACTCCAACACCAGAACCTCCAGCGACAACACGGCTCCCTCCGAGAAGCCCCACGCCAGCACCCCCAGAGCCCGCCCCAGAACCAGCTCCAGCCCGCTCCCCAGCACCCCCAGAACGCACGAACCCCTGCAGCGATGACGACGGCGGCTGCGGCTGCGGCTGCGGTGGCAGCGGCGGAGGCGGCTGCGGCTGTGACAGCAACGGCGGCAAAAGGGGGGGGGAGACCGGGGCAGAGACAATCGGGGGACGAGACTCCGCCGAGCCACGAAAGTCAGCAGGCAGGGACAACCGACGGGAGGGGGGTGACGTGAGACACACCAGACGGGGCAGGGCGGGGAGGGGGGGGAACACAGGCGACCGGGGGAGGGGGGGGAACCAGGAACAGAGGGGGGAGTGACCGGGGGACCACGGTGGGAAAAGCGGTGGTAGAAGGAGACGGACTCGTCAAAAGTGACGTCGCGAGAGTGAAAGAAACGGTGAGAAGGCGGGTAGTAGAACTGCCAGTCAGACGAGTCGAGGGGGAAACCTAGGACGACACAGGGGACAGTGCGGGCAGCGAGCTTGTCCGTGCCAGAGGCACGAACGTGAGCAAGGCAGCCCCAGACGTGGAACGCAGACGCGGCACCAGGAGACCCGGTCCAGAGGAGGGTCGGCGAAACCTGCGGCCGCTGAGGGTGCGGCCACAGGTTAAGCTGGTGAGCGCCGTAGCGAACGGCGAACTGCCACAGAAAATGGGGTGCACCGGCATGGATCATGGAGGTACGAGCCACCTACATGACGAAGTCGATGCGTCGCTCAGTGACCCCATTCTGCTGAGGGGAGTACAGCAGGCTGAACGTATGGGTGATGCCCTCCGCACGACAGAAGCGAGCAAGGCAGCCAGAGGCGAACTCGCCACCACGGTCGGAGTAAAGACGCATGACAGGGAGACCTAGGTGAACACGCGCAGAGATAAGCCACGGGAGAAGTACGTCAGGCATGTCGGCCTTCCGCTTCAGGGGAAACACGGTGATGTAGCGTGTGTGGTCGTCAACAAGCACTAGAAAGTAGCGCTCGCGAAGCGGCCCATGGACAGGGGCGGGGCCCCAGACGTCCATGTACAGGGTCTGCAGTGGTGCGGAGGTGGCGGGGAACGAGGAGGAGTAAGGGGCACGGAGGAGCCGGCCCTCGACGCAGGGCATGCACGGAGGCGCACGTGAGGAGGGAATCGCAGGGAACGACTCAGGGAGACCTAGGACAAGACGATGCTGGGACACGTGACGGAGACGGGTAAGAGCGGGGTGCCCTAGACAATGGTGCCACAGAAGCGACGGAGGAGTAAGCGACCAACACGAGCACGCCGCAGCAACTTGGGAAGACGCTGCGACCTGGGGAGGCGTCCCAACCGGGGGGGAAGCGGTGTCCAGCGTGAACAGGCCAAACAACGGGTCTCGGGGGAACATGGTGAGGGGGGCACCAGTGGCGGCCTCAGTACAGACAGCGTAACGCTCGTGCCCAGGGAACATAGTGATGACGCCAAGGTCCTGGAGGAAGCCGACATCAATTAGGTTCCTAGAGAACGAGGGGATGCGCAGGCCTGTAAGGGAGCCCGAGGGAACCACCAGATAGGGGAGAGTCGTGGAGCTACGGACATCTACAGGACCGGAGGAAGGGTCTGCAAGAGCAACTGCAGCGCGAGCGGCAAGCGGCATAAGTGTAGTGGAGTCGCGAAAGAAACACCGCGAGTCCAGGGTGAAGGAGAGCGCAACAGCGGCGACAGAGGTCGGAGGAGTGAGGAAGGACCCAAGGCTTAACAAGGAAGGGGATCCTATGCCTGACGCAGAAGGGGAGCCTGAACTAGGCACACTGGGCACAGCTACACTAGGCAACATAGGGTAATAGGAACCAGTCACACTAGAGTCATCGACATACAGCACATACAAAGCATAGCTAATCTCATCCATGCCCATATCGGAGATCCTAACACCACGACGGAGGAGACTGTGCTAGTCGGGGAGGTCAGGCGACGGGCCGAAGCGGAGACGAAACAGGTCGTCTAGGCGCCGGAAGCAACGAGTGGGGGAATGGCTGATCTTACCGCACACGCGGCCGCGACGAGGACCGGTCTGGAGCTGGTACTGGTAGCGCCCGTCACCCGACGGCATGCCGCGCGCACGACCACTGCGACCACTGCGACCACCGTCACTGCCGGCTCCAGGCTACCCAAGGAGGAGACGGCCGACTCGCCGCTGCTGCTGCTGCGGCGGCGGCTGCTGCTGCTGCTGGTCTAGCGACGACGCCTGCTGCTGCTGCTGCTAGGACTGCTGCTCCGAGGCACCAGCCCCAGCCCCCTCATCATTACTACCAGCGGGCGAGCCACCTCCACCACCGGCACCACCCCCTCCTCCGCTACTTCCGCCGCGCCCAGCCTTGGGGCGGCGACCTTACCCGGACGAAAATGCACAGCGGCGGCTGTCTCCGCAGCAGGAGCTGTCTCAGCAACCGCAACAGAACCGTCGGGATAAGTGTACTGAGCAGGGGCATAGCTCTGAACGATGGAGACTGGCACAGTACCTCTAGACTGGGCGATAGAGCGCTGACGAGTCTCTACGGCACACAGGGTGTCAACAAAGTCAGTGAGGGTGAGGTCAGCAGGGTGGAGAATAAGGAAGTGATCGCGGGCGGTGGCAATGCGGTCAGGGAGGCGGGTGGCAAGCAAGTAGAGGGTAGAGCAGATGGGGGGCTGAAACACACGAAGTTGGGCCTCAGTGCAGGCAGCGCGCCAGGTCGTATCTAGCATGCGCAGATGGGCGGCTACGTCAGCGACAGTAGGGAAAGACGCGAGGTCAGGAAAGAGCATGGGCAGGATCAGACGACCTACGGAGGCAGAGGGCTGAGTGGAATAACGCGCAACAACACCCTCTAGGATCTTTTGCGCAGTCCTGACCGACCTAAAGCGGGGGCATGACTAATCGTAAGCTGTGCGACAGCGTCACGCGACAACCAGACAGCACGGGCAAGGGCAGCAGTGGCAGCGGACTCACGGTCAGCAGACCTGCGCTCAGCGGGTAGAGCAGCAGGGGGGTCTGGGCAGGGGAGCGTACCATCG